TGACTCAAGCCAGGGAGGCAGAGAATTGTTTCATCTCAGTGAAAGATTGGGGAACATAGAAAACTGTGTCAGTAAAAGAATGTTAAAAAAAGAACTTAGAGTTGGATTTTGGTTTGTGGTGAAGTGATTTTGGAGAGTTCTAGAAAGCAGAGCTATCTGAAAGTGAGAGTAATTCTATGATTTGGTGGCTTAATAATTTTATATCTAAGGCAGGAGGAAGGAAGTAGAACTAAAACTATAATTTTAAAGAAGCAGCAGTCACTCAGCCAGAAAAGGATAATGTTTGGCCACTTTTGGACTACCAATTATTTTTTCTTTTTCTTTTCTTTTCTTTCTTTTTTTTTTTTTTGAGTTGTAGTCTCACATTGTTGCCCAGGCTGGAATACAGTGAGTGGCACGCTCATGGTCACTGCAGCCTCGACCTGCTGGGCTCATGTGATCCTTCCACCTCAGCCTTCTAAGTAGTTGGAACTACAAGCACAAGCCACCATGCCAAGCTATATTTTTTTCTTAGTCTGGTATGAAATATGATTACAGAGTGGTCTTGTGCTTGCTTTGTTCTAGCATCATCCTGAATGTATTTGTCTAATGTTGGTGTTCTGTGGAATTATGTTCAACAGAAGAACACCACAGCCAGGCCAGATTCTAGCTACACCAAGGCCTCACTGATAGTGCTAAGCTAACTCCTGGCTGTTAGGAGCTACTCTTCTTTTTCTTACTGTAAACATGTTAAATGTGCTCTCACTTTAGAACCTTTGTGCTTTTTGTTTCATCTGCCTAGTATATTCCTCTCCAGATACTCATTTTGATTACTCCATTATTTCATGCAGACCTCTGCTTAGATGTTATCAGAGGTTATTTCTGTTTATTCTTTTTCCTACATAGTATTTTCAATACTTGCTATTCCTTTACCTGCTCCATTTTTCTTCAAGGCACTTATGACTACATAACTTTATATTATATTTTTATTTTGTTTATTACCTGTTTTTTCCACTAGAATATTCAGGGGTATAAACTACATAGATCACAATGTGAATGGTGCCCTCTGGAGTCATATAGTGTCAGTCTGCTTGGACAGGGGCCTTGTCTCTTTTCTTTTCTTTATAGATTTATCCCCATCAATCAGAGTGCTACCCAGTGATCACTTGGTCTTCAGTAACTATCTGACAATGAATAAGCCTTTACAAAGAGGGCATTGTATCTGACCAATTCTTTTTTTTTTTTTTTTTTGGTAAGAGTGGGAGGGTAGTTCAGTGTACTCTGAACAGAATGAGAACAAAAGAATAACTACAGATAATTAATCATTTACTGTTATACCATGAACTTGTTGTGTAATCGCTCAGAGTAAAAGTCATATAAATTATTGTTCTGACATTCTTTTTGTTCTCAATTGCAATTTTAGGGATCAAAGAAAGCAGTTCCAGGTACTGGTGGAGAACAAGTTTTTTGAATGGCTGATTCACACAGGACATCGTCAACAGCTAGACAGCCTTGTGCCCCCTGCAGCAGGCTCCAAACAAGCAGCAGGATAGGGAGCCTATGTCAAAACACTGGTAGGCATTTATAATGTGCACCATTTGAGACAGATGCTTTTGGAGAAATGTTTCAAGCATTAAAAAAACACAAAATTTTTCCTACCATTTCTACCAGCATACACAGACCTTTATGTACCCGTATTGACCATATATTAGTAAGCAGACCAACCAAAATATTCAGATGGAACCTACAGAATTTTGGGCAAATATAATGGTCACGTTTTATCTTTTTTGCTTTCTACCTGACATAAGTTGTATTGTCCAAAGATACCACTCTCCCCTACATATAGCTTTAAGTTTTATTCCGCCTTTCTAGCCATCTTTCCTTTTTCTCATCCCCCCACACTCAAATCAATTAATAAATTAGCTCATCTTTGTTGATTGCACATATGAGCAATAATAACTGCCAGAGTTAATCCAAATAAAGATTTGAGTACTGAACATTAGAAGATCATAGATGAAATAAAAGAGAACATGGATACAAACAAATTTACTGGAATTTATTTAATCCAAATATACAGTATTATTCTGTATATTTGGATAGTAATATAGAAATAAAAATAGAAATTAGTTTATTTGTTATTTTAAAGTATTTTTAAACACTAAGAATAGAAAAACAAGGAAAATACATGAATTAGATATTTCACAGAAAAATACAGACACAAAGATGCTCATTTAAAATTAAAGAAATATATAATTTTTTATTTATTCATTTGGCAAGGATCAAAAACTGATGGTATACAATACTGGCAAGACATTTAACTTACACTTAGGGGGCAAGTTGATAAAATAAAAATAAAAATGCAAATATTCTTTGACTTAGCAATTTCACTTCTTAGGATTTATCTTACAAATATGCTTATATATGTAGGGATATATTTAATTACTTTATTTTATTTTATTTTATTTTATTTATTTTTTGAGTTGGAGTCTCACTCTGTCGCCCAGACTGGAGTGCAGTGGCCGCTCCCGGCCACCGCACCCTCGACCTGCTGGGCTCTGGTGATCCTTCCGCCTCAGCCTTCCAAGTAGCCGGAATTACAGGCATGCGCTACCACACCCAGCTGATTTTTTGATTTATTGTAGAGATGAAGTCTCGCTGCCCAGGCGGGTCTCGAACCCGGAGCTCAGGCAATCCACTCACCTCAGCCTCCCAAAGGCGCGGGATTACAGGCTGAGCCACTGAGCCCAGCTGATTATTTTATTTTTTAAATTGACATGTAAATTGTTTTTCATGTGCCACTTGATGTTTTGAAATATAGGCTGGGTGCAGTGGCTCAAGCGTGTAATCCCAGCGCTTTGAGAGGCCAAGGTGAGGGGACTGCCTGAGCCCACAGGTTCAAGAACAGTCTGGGCAACTTGGCAAAACCACATCTCTACAAAAAGTCAAAAAATTAGCCAGGCATGGTGGCACGCACCTGTGGTTCCGGCTACTTGGAAGGCTGAGGTAGAAGGATCCCTGGAATCCAGCAGGTCAGCGCAGGGGTGGCTGTGAGCATGCCACTGCACTCCAGCCTGGGCGATGCAGTGAGACTCCAGCTCAAAAAAAACCACACTTATATATATATAATTTACCTATTCCACAACATGTATACACACATTTTGGAATGGGTAAGTCAACCCAGTTAACACATGTATTACCTCACATAGTTGTCATTTTTATGGTGAGAACATTTAAAATCTACTCTCTTGGCTTTTTTCAAGAATATACTATAGTCTGGGCAGTGGCTCACACCTGTAATTCCAGCACTTTGGGAGGCCGAGGTGGAAGGATTACTTGAGCCCAGGAGTTCAAGACCTAGGAAACATAGTGAGACCTCATCTCTACAAAAAATTAGCTGAGCATTGTGGCATATGCCTATAGTCCTAGCTACTGGTAAGGCTGAAGCAAAAGGATCACCTGAGCCCAGATGTTTGAGGCTGCAGTGAGCCATGATTATGTGACTACATTCCAGCCTGAGCAATAGAGTGAGACCCCATATTCAAACAAACAAAAAGAATACACTGTAATGTTATTAACTATAGTTACCATGCTGTACACTAGGTCTCTTTAACTCATTTTTTAAATTCAGTTGAGTTGCGGTGAGTTTAGTGTCAGGTTCTCACTCTGTCGCCCAGGCTGAAGTGCAGTGGCATGATCTTGATGATAATGGCTCATAGCAGCCTCAACCTCCTGGGCTCAGGTGACCCTTCTACCTCAGCATCCTGTGTAACCGGGACTATAGGTACATACCACGCCCAACTAATAATTTCATTTTCTTGTAGAGACAAGATGCTGCTATGTTGCCCAGGCTGGTCTCCAACTCTTATTCTCAAACAATCTACCCACCTCAGCGTTCCAAAATGCTGGGATTATAGGCGTGCTCCACCAAGCCTGACCTAAATAAAGCCTACCTTTTAAAAGTGAAGAATTCAGTGACTTTTTTTTTTTTTGAAAGGATTTATTGAGAGGACACAAAAGTTCCCACAGTGGGAGGGGACCCGAAGGGGTTGCCCAAATTCAGTGACTTTTAAGTATATTCACAAGTTTGTGCAACCATCCTTATTAACAAATCTAGAACATTTTCATCACCCTCAAAATAAGGTCCATTACACATTGTTGGTTACTCCTCATTCTTCCAGCCCCCTGTATCTCCTCTTCCCCTCAGCCCTTGGCAACCATTAATCTACTTTGTCTGATCTGTACATTTCATATAAACATTTTTGTGTCTGATATAATGTTTTCAAGGTTCATCCATGTTGTAGTATGTATCAGCACTTCATTTTTTTATGACTGGATAATATTCCATTGTGTGGATCTACTACTTTATCTGTTCTTTTCTGCTGTTGTATATAATGCTGCCATATATATTTGTGTTCGTATTTTTGTGTAGACATATACTTTTACTTCTCATGGAATTCCCAGGAGTGGAATTGTAAGGACATGTGGACATATATTTAACTTTTTAGGAAACTGCAGTTTTTCAAAGCTATGAAATGTATTTTTTTTGTTGTTTATATATAGTTTACATTTTAAAAGCACATAATGCTTTTTTAAAAAAATAGTATTTAATAAATGATGACATGAAGAATTGGAAATCTGATGGAGGTTATACAAAGGAAGTATGAACTATAAGCTATAAAAATTTTAGCTTAAACTAATCCTCACAGCCTGCCAGCTTTTTGTGTCTCTGTATGAATTTCTCTTCTTCTATTTTGAACTAATGTGACACTTAGAAAAAAAGAAATATTTTTACTTTTAGAACTCACTCTAAACTATAATCTGTCCTTGGTAATTTATGTGATTTTGTATGCAAGGATTTTAAAAAATTATTTACATGAAGGCAATAGAAAAGTTACTAATATTAATTTTTATTTTATTTATCTTCAGGGCCCTGGAAACACAAGGATGAATGGAGGATGGTGTTCATCTTGAAATTAAATTGGAAAGGTGCTCTTACTGCTTTGGAGGCTTTTTCTTCCTTCCTTTGATTTCTGTTCCATATTCATTTGTTACTGTTTAGGTTGAATTTTAGCTAAACTTATGACTTTTATATAAATATAGTATTTGTAGAACATTGGAAGACTCATCTTTGTGATGCCAAAATGAAAAAGTTGATGAAGGCAGTCCTATTGTATATGTGTTAATGTTAAAGCGATTGTTAATATTAAAGTGATTGAGCAAGTATTCGGCATATTTTAATTTGTATGATAGAAGGATTTCATCCTTTCTAGAGTTAAGTAAAAGTTTTATAGTTCTTTATAACTATTTAAAAGTGAATTTAAAAAATAGAATGAAAGTACAATTTGTTGGTGTATAAATATAGCAGAGATGGTTTTATATATTATAAAGTATGAAACAATGAAATTGTATTTAAAATCTTTATTTTTCACTTTTTGCATCAAATTTTCAATAAACTCTAAAGAGTAGTTTCTTTTTGATTAAAAGATAAAGCTTTAATTTTAGAAAAGGTTTTCAGTGTCATTCTGTGACATATCTAAGTAAAGTTTACATTTGATTGGGAAAGCCCTATTCTTTAAGATAAAGGAAAGCAAATTAGTGAAATGAACCAGATTGCTGGTAAACATTGTTTCATATGCTCTTTGGCCATTTAATTAGTAATATATTAAAAAGGTCTTGCTCTTATACTTCTTAAGTGAAAACCCTCAGAATGTTTGTTAATTCTAATTGAAGTTTTCATTTTAAGATGAAATTCAAGCAAGCAAAGCATTACCAAATAAATACTAGAGTAACAGAAGTGCATTTTGGAAATTGCTATTTTCTTAATGAAATTAATGATAATCAGATACTTAATTTAAAGTTTCTAATTCAGAAAACTAAGTATGTAGCTTAATACTTTGTTTCTCAGTGATCTTCTTATCAAGGCATGTTGGCCGTTTTCTGAATTGACCATACTACATCTTTGGGGTATCCCATTTATATAAATATGTGTTGGTTAGCTTTGTTAGTAAAAAGATGAAGAAGTTGAACTTTTGAGAATATACTTGATCAGAAAGATAAAAATGGAAAAGAGTTGGTTTCTTGTTTCTTTGAGTTTACATAAGATGGAATTTCATTCTTAAAATCAGAGCTGTGTTAAGGGCTGAAAAATATTCTCTGAACAGGTCCCAATATGATATCATTGATAGAGAAAGACCTCCTACAGGTGGCAAGTTGGACTTAAACCCACTATAGCTTTCTGTCTCTCTACACACTGTAGACAGTTCTAATTCATTCTTCTTGCAAGAATAGGTCAATGAACCACCCTTCATCTAGATTCACTAATTGTTAACATTTTGCCACCTTCGCTTTACCACTCTTGATATAATATCATTTTATTTTTGCTTAGCAATTCGTGAGTGGATTGCAGACATCTTGGACCTTTACTCCCAAATATGTTAGTATGCATTTCCTAAAAACACAAGACATTCTCTTACCTAGTCATAGTACAATAATCAAATACAAGAAGTTAAGCTTTGGTACAGTAATATTATCTAATATACAGTCTATACTTCAATATCACTTTTGTCCAGAAATAGAGGGTAGTCTTTGGGCTCTTGTCTCCTGCAAGCTTTGTTGAAAAGAAAAAGGCATTAGGAATTTCAAAGAGGCTGCTTTCTAAAAAAACCAAATTGCCCAGGGAAGAGGAACTTTTTTGTTTTCAATTTTTAAAACTTTGGCTGGGTTTTGGTGTCTTGACTCAGCAAAGTCTATAATGCAGCAGAGCTTGGTAAGCATTAAAGGGAGTACTGAAGCTTTCCTTTATTTCATAATCCCAATTGTTTTTTCTAGAAACCATCAATAGCCTCTAAATGACTGACTCAATTTTTGGATCCTATTCTCATGACTAAGCAAATGTTTGACTTGAAACCAGCCCATATAAATGTCACTGTGCCTGTAACTCTCTGTAGCTATTCCTGAATTTCTTTCAGCACTGGGGAAACCAACCTATGCACCAAAAATGTCTAAAACTGGAATGAAGGTAAGTAACTGGTCATACTGCTTTTTAGTCTACCCACTTTTCACCTAATGATACATTGAAAGAAACACAGAAAAACGTTTGCTTCTTTACCTGGAGGTGAGTATGTTAGTGGCTGGGATTGGGAGACGAGATTAAGATATTGTATTTTCTGCTGTAACAGAATTATGAAACATTTTATTAAGAGTTTATGTATGGTGCTATGTTGAATATTGTACAGGTAAATATTGTGTACGTATCATTATGATTTCTGCCCTCCAGCAACTAATATTCTGTGAATCTCCACAGGAATAAGACATGCTGATGAGGATTATGTGGAGCAGAGAACTTTTAGTAGTCAATTTAAATTTTGGGGGGTATGAAATTTAGCCTCAGCCATAAATTATGTTCTTAAAGGCCAAGGTGGATAGGCCAATCAGGTGAATAAAATCCTATATATCTCTTTCATTCAAGCAGTTATTTTTACCCTTTTCCCAAATAAAGTGCTCCCTTACACTAGGAAAATTGACTCAAATATTTGGCTCACAATTGCTGGGTTGGAAATTTATCTTGGGCAGGGATTTGGGAATGAGGGAACAGCTCTTCATTTTCATTTTAATTCCTCCACTGACTAGTAAGGCAAAGCTGGTGCCTAATTTTTCCCCCCTCATCTTTTTACTTTGAAGGATTTCAAAACCATTGAATCTTGAAAGAATAGAAGGAAATGTTGAATGAATACTTAGATATCCTTCACTTATATCCTTCAGTTAACATTTTGCCATATTTGCTCTGTCTCTCTCCTTTTACTAAACCATATGAAAATAGGTATCAGACTTTATTATATTTTTGCCTTAAGTATTTAGGTATATATCTCCTAAAAACAAGGGCATTCCCTATATAAACATTGTATCATTATCATGTCCCCAAGACTAATCATAAAGGTAATACCTAATACTGAGACCACATCCAAATCTCCTACGATTGCCCTCAGAAACGTGCTTCATGACTGGCTTTTCCTCTGACAAAGAAACCAGTTAAGAATCCTGTATTTCATTTTGTTGTCATTTCTCTTTAGCCTTTTTTTATTTTTATTTTAGCCTCTTTAGTCTGCATACTTTTTTTTTGTTGTTTTTTGAGACATTAACATTTTTCAAAGTCTAGGCCAGGTATCTTTTAGAGAGCCCTGCAATCTAGATTTGTCTGCTTGTTTCCACATGTTTAGATTCAGACTAGACATCTCTGGCAAGAAGGCTACATAGGCAATGTCGTGTACTTCCCATTGCAGCATGTCAGAAGATACCTGTTGACTTCTTCCATAATTATTTAGTGCCTGATTTTTCTTTCCCACTGGAAAATAGAACTAGCTTTTCATCCTGAAGGTTTGGGGAGGAAAGTAAGTGTCTTGACTACTCTGAAGTTTTTGAAAATATGCCATGCAAATCCCACTAAAAAAAGAATTTGAAGTCCTTAGAGGGATATCCACATGTCTTGAGGGAGGATGTCATGTAAGCATCTTAGATGAAAACATCTCCCACTTTTAAAGAGTTTCAGAATGGTAACAGTGTAGTCTCATTTATTTATAGCTGAGTTGTTCATTTAGTTAATAACTTTTGCATGCTATGCTAAAGGGGATAGCAAATTATGTCTTAGTCTTTCTTACTGCTTCTCCCTTTCCCACTATCTTACTAGCAATTTGGTGTGGCAAAAGGAATGAATCTTACTAAGTATGTTTTTGTTACCTCTGGGATACTCAAGACATTTTTATTTCTGCTGCATTGGATTAGAGGCTTGTGTTCAAATAATAAATTTGAAAATGACAGGAATTTTGAAATAATTTCTAGGAAAACCTGTATATTTTTTAGCCTTCTCTACAAAAATTTTTACTTCAATCCTCTCAACTGACAATAGAATGGATTTCATAGATCTACAAATAGAAACTGAGTATAGCTAGGTGCAACATTTTCTGGCTCTGAGATTTGGATGGTTTCCCACTGAAAGGAAAGTTTGGTCTTGGTGCTCAGTAACGATTCTGTGGCAATAGGACATGTGCTTTGTTTCAACCTTGAAATGGTTGGTCGATCAGCTAAGATGGTGAACATCAGGTGACTTCACTGAATAACGTGTATATTTCCACTTCTCAGATTTTGGTATCAGTCACACATATGTGCAGAGGGCAGTAAGTGTGAGAAACGATGAAGTGAAATAGATTATATCAGCTTCATTTCCCACAGCATATCTCTTACAAAACCTCTTTTTTGGTGAATATTTGGTCAAAATTCAAAGGCAAATTAACCATATGAATTAAGGAGTTTAGAATCTATCCATTCTTGCAGAAGTTGCTTGATTTTCCTAGAGATCTCTCCACAGGTGATGGGCAGGCCCCTTGGGCTCAGGATCAGTCTTGTTCAATGTCTAAGAGAGTAAATTTGCCATGTTGAACAGAGCTAGTTGTGCAGGTAGGAATAAAGCAGAGTGAACCCAGATGACTAACCAGAGGTTTTGTACTTCATTCCGCTGTCTTGCCTGCAGCTAACTTATGATTTACTAATGACCTTAGGGAAGTCACTTAATTTATTCGTCTGTAACAACATAGCAAAAGCTTACTGGTAATTGTGAGGTGGGTATTAAACTAAGTACTTTATCAACATTATTTCATTGAACCCTCTTTTGCAAATGGAGAGCTTTAGCGAAATGTTCATTGCCCTGTCTAAGGTCACACAGCAAGTAAGCAGTAGTGCTGGGATTTTTTTTTTTTTCCATCTGTAAACTAAGGTACCATGTTTCTAAATCTATGCTATGCTAAGATGGGAAATCGCTGAAGGACAAATTTGGGAAGCGGAGAAAGGAGATGAAGTAGATAGTGTAGGGAAGAAAAAGGGCAGCTTTTAGGGAATGGGGAATAGAAAAGTTGAGAAATGGGAAGGGAAAGCTTAAGGTAGAAGAAAAAAATATTAGAAAAAAACATTTCTTGCCAGAAAGAATTATGCAGGGTAGAAGAGAATGAGATGTTTGCACATCATTCTTGGTTTCTTCCTCTCCTTCATTCCCTGCATCTAATTAGTCACCAAATTCTGAATGTCCTTGGGCTGTTTCTTATCATCATTCCCCCAGCAGTTGTCTGTCAGTTGGCCTTCATCATCTCTCACCTGGCTCATGGCAGTCATCTATTTCCAGGCACAGGCTACTAAGTAGAATTCTCACACAATCACCGAAGGGATTCCAGCATGGCTCCGGTGGCGTTTTTCTGCTTTGTTTTCTAATACTTCACCACATATTCAATATGTACAATGCTTAATGAACTATTTATTTTCACTGTGATGGGCCATGCTCTTTCATTTCTTTATTCTTTTGAACAGGTTTGTTCCTTTTCCTTTGCTTCCGTAAAACACCTGCTTATCCTTCAATCCTCTGCTCAGAGATCCTCTCAAGACAATACCTGGCTCTGCTGCTTTCGTCTGAAATGACTCACATGGTTTTTTCCTTTTAAAGCCATAAATCAAATTAGCCACAAGGTGGCGATATAATGCCAAGGAATTAACTGCTTGAAGTGTGACACCTGTGGTTTCAGTTTAAATAACAGCATTGATCTGAAACCTTGTTGAGAGAGAGAGACAAATGGAGAGAGAGAGATTGTGAAATTTTTTTCTTTTTTTTTTTGAGTTGGAGTCTCACTCTGTCGCCCAGACTGGAGTGCAGTGGCCGCTCCCGGCCACCGCAGCCTCGACCTGCTGGGCTCCGGCCATCCTTCCGCCTCAGCCTTCCGAGTAGCCGGAATTACAGGCACGGGCTACCACGCCTGGCTGATTTTTTTATTTATTGTAGAGATGAGGTCTCGCTGCCCAGGCGGGTCTCGAACCCGTGGGCTCAGGCAATCCACACACCTCAGCCTCTCAAAGACGCGGGATTACAGGCTGAGCCACCGAGCCCGGCGATTGTGGAATTATTAAGTAACGGCTACCAACTCTGTCATCCATTTGTGGTTTTCATAGTGTTTTTCAAAAATTGCTTCATGAATCCTTAGGAGTTCCTGGGAATTCTGTCCCCTGTTTCATCCAGAAAAGCTCCGAGTTTTGTTTTTACAGCCAGGGTTTCTGATCTACTCTAGTCCTTTCATTTGACAAAAATGGGAGGCTGAAGCCCAGAGTGGTGACTTGTCTAAGGTTGTAGGGCTGATTGCAGAGAGATAGCTTTAGAGCCCAGGCGTGTTATTTCTGGTTTTCCAAGGCCGCCTCTTTTTCAGTGTCATCAGAGACCTACCCCAAGCATTGCGGTAGAAACTTGATAAGAGTTTGAAACAAAGAGCATTCTTGCCTCATCATTTTGTTACTTTGCATCTACTCTGTTGGCAGTCAACTAGTAATACGGAACATAATATGATGTATCCTGGTGTATACTCTATGTCCATCTAAAATACACAAAAGCTAAGGTTGTTTTACTCTTCTCTATGTATCTTCTATATCACCTACTATGAATTTCTGCATTGGAACTCACCTATCTTCATTTACTGAGGGCTTGTCAAATGCTGAGAGCACAAAGGATCCACAGCTTAAATAAGGCTTCGTCCTTGCCCCTAGAAGAAATCTAATAGGAATTGGGTGGGAGGGGGTAGAAATATCAATGAATAATTTATAATATAATCTGGTTAGTACATAGATCTTTGGGAGCACAAAGGAAGAAGTCTGAAACTGCTGGCTTCTATGTGAGTACTCCTCTGTTATACCTCATGTTAAACCTTCAGAAGGTACTCATTTCTATTGTTGACAACTAAAGTTGTCTGCCAGAATGCAAATGTTGTGAAGTGAAGTAGAACTATATATTTTCTCCCCAAAATTGAGGAGAAAGAAATTTCTAAAGTAGATAATGTTGGCATGTTCTTACTTTGCATTTTATCTGTGAATACAGCCACCCAACACCTCAGTTCTTTTCTTTATTGGCCCTGTACTTCAGATCACTTTCTATGAGGACAAAAATTTTCAAGGTCGCCGCTATGACTGTGACAGCGACTCTACAGATTTCCATACATACTTAAGTCGCTGCAACTCCATTAGAGTGGAAGGAGGCACCTGGGCTATATACGAAAGACCCAACTTTGCCGGTTACATGTACATCTTACCTCAGGGAGAGTACCCTGAATACCAACGCTGGATGGGCCTCAATGACCGCCTCAGCTCCTGCAGAGCTGTGCATCTGGTAAGTCTGGGGACTTGGGCATGCTCGCGCCCTTTTTCTTTCTCTTTTGCTCTAAAAAAAATGTTTTCTTGAGGTTTTCCTACCTCTTAATGAGTGACTCTTGTTGGCTGCTGAGGCTTGAGTAACACCTTAGATCAGTTCATCACAAGATGAAATACATTAATTGTTTCCAGGGTGCTTTCTCTGCCTCTAGGGTATTTTGAGGAATTGATTGTTTCTTTTTAAAAGTCAACTGTTTCAGTCAGTACCCAGGGAGCTGAGAGTTAGATCATCTAGCTTTCAAGGTGGTAGGTTCTGAGTCATACTTGTCCTCTAAGCCCTTGACCTGCAGGTAATTTCCATAATGTTGGCTGTTCATTTCCTCCTGTGTCTTTTTCAGCCTACTGGAGTCCAGTATAAGATTCAGATCTTTGAGAAAGGGGATTTTAATGGTCAGATGTATGAAACCACTGAAGATTGCCCTTCCATCATGGAGCAATTTCACATGCGAGAGATCCATTCCTGTAAGGTGCTGGAGGGTGTCTGGATTTTCTACGAGCTACCCAACTACCGTGGCAGGCAGTACCTCCTGGACAAGAAAGAGTACCGGAAGCCCATCGATTGGGGTGCAGCTTCCCCAGCTGTCCAGTCTTTCCGCCGCATTGTGGAGTAATGACATGAATGGAGCCACAGGCTTCTTCCTGGGGCCCAAATGCTGGCTGGCCTTGTGGTCCAAATAGGCATCATAAATAAAACAGTTGGCATGCATCCCACTGCTGACTATAACGCCTCTCCTTAAATGCTTCTAGGGATCAGCAATGCAGTGCCCGTCACTGTGGGTGATTACACAAAGCAACACATCGTCAGATGACCAATCTAGATCTTTGTGCCAAACAAAATGAGATTGCATTAAAAGGTTAGAAAACCATACTGCCATATGGTGGTTCTTTTTGCTTATGTTTTGCAGCATTTCAACAGGCACAGTAATAATTACTAAACTATTTATTGAGTGCCTACAATATTTTCTTTTTCTCTTCCCAACTATGTGAGAGGTAGTTTATCTGCATTTTACAAAGAAGGAAATTGAGGCAGAAATTTAAAACTTGCCCAAGTTTGCCAGCTAATAAATGAAGGAACTAGGATTTGGTTCAGGATATTTTTGTTCCCAAAGTCATTGTTCTTGTCTCCTTATTTCCAACACATTAAATCAATACATATTGGTTGGAGATCTGTGCATAGGATGTGAGTACCAGACCCTGAAAAACTTAAAAGGTAAAAAGGACAAAGTCTTCCTGAAAGACTGGTTGAGGAGATAGAATGTTTATCAAGAATGACCAATGAAAGCAGGGTTATTATTTGAAAATAGTGGAGCTAAGTCACCTGAAGTCTCTTGTTTACAATCCAGAGACTCTTGTGTGAGTTACTTCCCAACCCTAAGTTCAGATTTTTTGTGTAGAGAAGACATATTACACAATGTGCCCCTACTTTACAGTAGTTGAAATGGAGTTGTTTCAAGGTTTGCTTATTTTGACTAATCCCTGAGATTTTATTTAATCTTCATGAAGAGGAGAATAATGAAGGAAACAGCATCTCTAGGAGTAGAGAGCATCTGAGTGAACCTGGGGATATGCAGAATGCACCTGTTCATCTTTAAAGGAAATGGCAAAGCCATGTCTTTTAGGATCTTTCCCCAAAAGGACAGATTGGAATTGCTAAACTCTCTCTGTGTGTACTTGAGTCTATACTCTAAGGTATAGTGTATACTCTCCTCCAAATAGATTTAGTCATTTTGTTATCTTCTCCTCCCTTTTGTCATTTTAAAAATAATTTTAAACTATATTTTCATACAGTTTTAATTTTTATAATTTTTGAACTTCATGCACTTTTACCTTTTGTCATTTTGTCTGTTTTAAGTGAGACATTTTGAGAAAAGTGAGTGAAAATAAGGAAGGGAGACATCATAAACCCTGGAAAAGGAATGGGCAGTCATTTGCTGAGCTGTAAAGAGCTCTGACCTGTGAGCTGACTGCAGCCATCAACTCTGGACCTTGTCACCCTTCCATGAAGCTATCTTTCTTTATCTCTAACATGAAGGGGTTGAGCTAAATGCCTCTCAGGCCCCATCAAACACAAACAATTCCCTGGAGGCTAGCAGGAGGTCATTGAAAGATTAGTTGATGACCAAAGACTACTGACACTCAGTTTTAGAGGCACAATTTCTGGAAGTGATCTCAGATCCTGCCACTCATTTTCTGCCAAAAGAACAGGTTCTGGTAACGAGTGAGTTAGAATCTGCCTCTTCTCTCATATCAACTGCTGCCCTGTTCCTGGGTGAGTTGCTCACAGTCTGTTCAAAACAACCAGAAAACCAGTTTTGGCAGCAGAATAGGAAAACAAGAAGTGTCAGGATGACTAACCACAGTTGCAGAAAAGTAGAAGATGGCTTTTGACAGCTAAAAGCAAGATTATCATTTTGGGGTGTTATATGCTTCTTGGTTCATGCCCTGATCCAGAAAGAGATTGCTGCCATTCTCCCCAGCCGTAGTCATACCAATTAACTTTTTGCTTACAAGGAATTTTACTAGCAGTTGATATTAGAGGTCAAAAACACTTCACGTCCTTATCCATCAATCCCAGCTCTTGGTAGCATAGTCTGCTGTTAGAATAAGAAGCCAGCATCCCAACCTGTCAACCACACCTTATCTCCCTCTACCTTTTATTGTTTTGTCAGTCTAAAATAGGGGATATCAAAAAACAAGGCAAGGGTGTCCTTAAATAATTTTAGCCTTGTTTCCATCCCAAGCATTTCTCTGAGACAAATCTCTGAATATTTCCCCAAATACAGGGCCCACTATCTCAAAATGTACCATCAAGAGGTTCCATTTAAAGTCTCAAGGGTAAGGTTGCCAGACTAAATACAAGACAGAATTCATAAATCCCATGTACTGCATGGGACATACTTACATTAAGCAATTGTCTTAAATTCAGATTTAACTGCACTGCATCCTATCTGGCAACTGTACTTTAAGAGCAAGGCAAGTCACACAGGAGTCACATGGGCCTAAGAGTACAGGTTCTGGAAATCAGCAAAAACATTGCATGATGGTTGTGGATTTAGTTCAATTTGTTTAAAGGAGAGTGATATCAAATGCAGAACAAAATGTAAGCATATGCCCTACAGAAGAGCATTTAGATACACTTCACACACACACACACACACACACACACACACACACACACACACACACACACACTGCAAATCAGCAAAATACATCTGCATCTGGATGTGGCTTGTGGATTACTAGTTTCCAATCTTGTCTTAAAGGAGAGCTCTGACTATCAAATTGTTTCTTGCATTGAACCAAAATCTGTGCCCTGAAACTTTCAACCTGCAAGCTAATTCTGCTTTCCATCTAGTTCTTCCTCCACAAGATAGCTCTTTAGATATTTAAAGATTCCTTTGTTTTTCTTCACACTGGCAATTCTGCATTGAATAACTGCTATTCTTTTCGTTGCTTCTCTCTTGACATGGCTTCGAGACTCCTCCCTACTCTCCTGGTGCCTCTCACAGACTAATTGCAGTTCATCTCTTCCCCGATGTCTTAGCTGTAACCTGACCAGTGCAGACCACATCTGGAGGGTTATATGCAGTTCTTTCATTCTTCTTTCTCTGATTTACATTGTTCTTGGCTAAGCCCAGATCTCCTTATGCCCTTCTCCCAACCCTGATAAGGATGCCTGGTTTCCTTTTCCTAAGAACCAGCACTCCAAGGGCTGGAGAGTTTCCTTCTTCTCTGGGGAGTTAGAAATGGATTCAAATCTGGCCACTTCCATACATACTCTAACATGTATAACCTCAATTTTCTTATCTGTAAACCTAAGATAACATCTACATTGTGGGCATTAAGATGAGATAATGCATGAAAAATACATAGTCTGTGCAGTCAATTCTCGTTATTTTCTGTAGTGAAGTTACAAAGAAAAAGCAAAACAATGCAGAAAGTGTGGCAATAAATAGACTGCAAAGGACACTTGTTTACAATATGAGAACTGAAACAAGAAGGCAAAGCAAATAGCAAATATTGAACTATTGCTCCTAGAGAAAATATAGGGTTAGGTTCCTGTGAGCCTTTGGTCACAACATTTTTGTCAATGATCAATATATACATTTTTATGTATATTTCTATTTAAAGACAACATAATATATTTTGCTAATTCATTGACATGGAACTCATGGCCAACAGCACTATAATTCATGTCTGAAGAAAGATTATTTAACACATATTTTCTCATTAAGGCAATTGCAACCTTCTCACTATTAAGAACACTAGACAGCCCTGCAGCATTACATTTGGGGGCTGTTTTAAACAGTGAAATTACAAAGAAAAAGCAAAACAATGCAGAAAGCATGGCAATGAATAGACTGCAAAGGACACTTGTTTACAATATAAGAACTGAAACAAGAAGGCAGAGCATTTGTTTGACCTCAGCTGGGAACATGCTCATTGGGTGACTCAAATTTTTCACTGCTCTGCTCATATCCATGAATGACCACAAAAGCACTGCAAGTCATGATTTGGAAATTACAAATACATTTTAGTGAGTGGACAAACTCTCAAATATGGAGTCTATGAAAGAATGAGGATCCACTGTACTTTACCACCATGGGTACCATCTTAGTACCATTTCCTAATACTAAAGTTTCTTCTGTTATCAAGTTGTTTGATTTTTGGGGGGTTTTGTTTTGTTTTACTTGCCTAGCTTTTTAATACCTCTTTCTATCTCCTAGTTGCTTTCAGAAAAGCATCTGTAATTTGGCAGATGCTTCATAGATGGGAAGAAATACATCAGAATGATCAACCCATTCTACTATCTTGAAAAAGAGCCATATTGTTATTATCCTAGAAGTTTGGCCCTCTCTTAGCTCTTCCATAAGCCCCTCCCCAGGTTCTAGCTCCTAGCAGTTTCCAAGGTCAGCAGGGTTGCCCCTAGAGTTCATATAAAATCTCCCTTGTTTTCTAACTTCTACCTCATCCCTTTCATCTGCGGTACCTCAAGGGACTGAGGGCAGCTAGTTGCCAAGCTCTCCTTCCCACCCTTTGGTTGACCAGCTTCTGGAACACACAGGAGAGAAGGATCAATCCTGGGTGTGACTTCAGCGCAAGGAAAACCACTCTGTCCACAGATACATGCTACCCCTTCCCTCAAGACTCAAACTTCAAAGTCAGGTGATTTCAGAACTGGAGAGGTGGGGGCTTTCCCGTACACTGCAATTGATGAGTGAGATGGCGCTTACTCATCCCAGTTTACAGACGAGGAACTCGGGCTCAAGGTCACTCTATTCCAAAGCTCTCATTCTTCCACTGTATCATGCAGTTCCTACTTGTCAACTTTCAAAAGACAGAACCACGACCACTTATCAGTCATAGCCTGAGCTATTTCTCTTTAAATTCTTCTATTGAGATATAATCCATATGTAATACAACCCGCCTGTTTAAAGCATACAAGTCAATGGTTTTGAGTATGTGCAACCATTAGCACAGGTGATGTTAGAACATGTTTGTTACCTCAAAAAGAAACCCAATATTCTTTAGGGATCACTGTCTTATCTAGCTCTCCAGCCCCCCAGTCCTGAGCAAACACTAATCTATTTTCTGGATTTATATGTTTGCCTATTTTGGACATTTCACGTAAATGGGATTATAAAATATGTGGGTTTTTGTGATGGTCTTTTTTCAAGGTTTGTGGATGTTGTAGTATGTGTTGTTACTTTATTCCTTTTTATTACCAAATAATATTTCATTGTTTGGAAATCCACATTTTGTTTATCTGTCATCAATTCATGGGCACTTGAGTCATTTCTGCCTTTCGACTATTTTGAAATGCTGCTCTAAGCATTGGTGCATAAGTTTTTATGTGGACAT